TCTTTAAATACTTTTCTTATTTATTTTATTTATTTGTTTATATATTTTTAATGAAATAAATTCTCAATTATATTAATTTATTTTCATTCATAACTCATTGCATGTAATGATAAAATTTAATAAAAAATTGTTATCTAAGAATCTTTGACTAAATCTTAGATTAAGATAATAAAAAATTAATGCCTGATATTTGATGTAATATTTATACAGTATATAAATTGACTGCAGAGTACTGTATGTTATAAATTATAAGTTATAATTTTTGTTATAAGTTTTTAAGTTATAAGTCTAAATATTTGCATTGTTTAATTGAATAGCATTAAGCGATGCCAACTGCTTGTGATGGCTGACAATTTGCGGTCAACTTATTGTGTCCATCAATAGATCCATTGAGTACTTTCAGTGGCACCTCATCTCCGGCTAATGTCATTCCCGAAAACAACTCTATCCATAATTACATGACATTTACCGTATTTGTAATATTATTGTGAAAATATGTGAACACCTCTACTCGTATTGAGTTGAATACAGTTTGCATGAAATAATAACAAGATTTGTGTTCAATATTTTGAATGGTTTACTAAATAGTGACAAATAATGAATAAATCGGTTGCAATGAGTGGTGAAAGCAGTAGTAATAGTGGTGTGAATGGTGTGACGGGTTTGGACTGTACTAACGCTAGTCGTGGCGTTTGGTTAGTCAAAGTGCCGAAGTATATGAGCAACAAATGGCAAAAAGCACTTCCACTCACAGAAGTCGGCCGACTGTCCATCACTAAGTATACCACAACTGACCACCACTTCAACACTTCCTTACGCTTCTCGCTCTCACCCACAGGTCATCCTCCGGACGGCCGGAGATATTATTCAATTTATCACAAGAAGTGACCAAAAGTGAGACAAACGACTCCTCGGCGGTGAAACAAGTGATGATTCCGACCGAACATCAGTTCGCCATCTCTGACATTAAGAACCAAACGCTCGCCGTTTTCTCCCAGATGTCAGGTATTGAAGAATGGATGATATATTGACTATAGTTTAGATACATGTTATATGTGTTATTATTTGTACAGAGGAGTCGTCCACATCAGGTCTGGCACTGGAGGGCAATGTTGTCCAGAAGGGCGAGTGTCGGCCCATCGGTAACGATAACTACATGAACCTGAAGAAGGAGACCATAAGAAAGGCCTCACAACCGGCCAGAACTGTGCAACAGTTGGATAGGGCTGTCATCAACTATAAGCCAATCTCAGCGCACAAATCAGATGTGATTCACAACTTATTGGTTTCATTTGACATTTTATTATAACAATTGAAATGAATTACATTTTAGTTGGATTTCGAGTTGAAAAAGAAATCTGAGGGCAAAAAGTCACGCGAAGACAAGGATAAGGTTCAGGACATGTTATTCTCAGCCTTCGAGAAACACCAATACTATAACATTAAAGACTTGGAGAGAGTCACTCGACAGCCAATTGTAAGCATTTGACAATTAAATTCAATACATTTTCACACATTAATTCCCTTTTGTCTTATTATTAAGCCATACCTTAAAGAGATACTCAAAGAGATTTGTCACTACAACGCAAAGAATCCACACAAGAATATGTGGGAATTGAAGCCAGAGTTCAGACATTACAAACAAAACCAAAGCTAATACGACAACACATTAAAAGCAATAAAATGTTTTATTTAAAAAATGTCATTATTTACATAATCTTTTCAATACAAATATGGATTATCTCTAAAATAAAAAATACGATTAAAAAACTATTCTCTTGGGAATTTAATTGATCTTTTGGCTTTCGAACGCGTCACTCTTTCCGCCTATTCACGCAACAAAACAAACAAAAAAGCAAACAATTAATACAAGTCATACAAATGATGGGTCAGTGATAGGCAAAAGTAGAGACTTAAGAGACGAAGACAACACATATGGAGACAAAACTCACGGAAGCAATAATGGGAGAGATTGGAGAGAGACAAAGGTTTTGGAGGGGAGGCCTCTTCCTCTTAGAAATAGAGACTGTTATGTCCTTTGGGAACAATCAAGATATCAAATGAAACGTTAACAACAATCAATCCAAGACAACAGCAATCTTAACAATTACCTCATTTTCAGTCGAATTACTCGTTTGTTTCCTTTTGGGGGCTTTTTTGTTGTCTTTATTGGAAGTTTTGTTCGACTTTTTGTTGGAATAACCAATTTCTCCGATCTCGTCGTTGCGCGCATCCATTGACGTCACCGAAGACTGCGATGATTTCACTTCAACAGAGGTCTATAAAATATAAACATATTATAATAAGTGATTAAAAACGTGTTGAATGTCTTACATCAAGATTGCTGTCGACTGACTTCAAGTAGCGCTTATCCATTGAAGAGTTGAGATTAGGTTTTCTCTTACGCGACGAGTATTTTGCGGTCTTCTTTGGCTTCTCTGGAATGGACTCAACGCTGGAAACAGAGTTCAAGTCTTCGGATTTCATTGATTTGGTAGTAATGCTGGAAACGGACGACGCTATGGAGGCGGCGGTTGAGCTACTCTTCATGGGATGATTTAATAGTTGTCCCAAATAGAAGCCGCCATTCATTTTCTCATTTAGTTTTAGATTCTCTTCTTTGAGAGCTTTGAGCTCTTGATCTCTTTCAGCGGCGACTCTACGGTTAAACTCAATCATGTGGTCCTTCTCTTTCATCTCTTTCTCGTATTGATTCAATTTCATTAATAATTCATTTTGTTGTTCGGAAACGCATTCCTCTTTCAAACTGTTGTGTTGTGAACAAGTTATTGGAGAAGTGGCCGCTTCTGAAGACTGTGCGTGTGTTGCCAAACATTGCTCTTCTTTAATGGTCACATCAAACTCTGTTTCGGTCTCCTTATCCTCAGTTGAAATCGAGACATTTGTTTCAACACAAATGGAGTTATTGTTGCATTCAAATGAATAGTTTGTCAATTGTTCGACAGTTTGTATCAAATTATGAGTTGATGTCTGATTGTCGACGCGATCCACAAATGAATTGCCGACTCCTATAGATTTGTTGCTTATATTAGAGTTCGACTCTTCTTCCCATTCCATGGCCGAAGTGTTTGTGTCCTTCAATTCAATCGTATTAACAGCCGAACAGTTCATATCATTTAATTCAGTGTTTAGAACAGAAGTAGAGGCGTCTGTAAACTGCCATTTGATTGGAGATGTGCTCATGTCTTGAAAGCTCTTCATTTCACTAATTGGCACTATTTTAGACTCGAGTTCTTTAATGAGTTGTTCCTTAACTTCGATGATCTCGTCTTTCTCTTGGATGAGCTGTTCTTTATCTTCGAGGACTCTATTAACGAGTTCCGCTTCAATGAGCGCTCTCTCCTTCTCCTCTTTTGCGCGACAGTTCTCTTCGCGAAGCTCGAAGTTCTCGGTCTCTAATTTACTCAATTTGTTCTCAAACTCCAGTTTCTCCTGTTTACGCATATCTTCGGCCTTCAGGAGTCGGTTAGTCATCATTACTTCCAGATTCTTCTTCGCTCTGTCCCTGTCGTCGGACATATCAACCGATTCCTTAACCATTTCGTTGAATTCATTGGCCACTTGTCTCCTAACGATTACTTCCATTTCTGTCTTTTCAATCTCCGATTGTTTCAACTTATCGGCCAAAAAGTCTATTTGCGATCTCAACACTTCTAGCTCTTCGGGATCGGCTCGACTCAAGTCTAATCGAGTCATTTCGTTGATTCTGAGCTCCATTTGAGCGACACTCACATCGGCCTCGTCTTCGTCTTCTTCATGAATGGTCTGTATTATAGAAATCGATGGCTTCTGCTTGAGATCAGCGAAGTTGGACCACCGCTGCGATGACTGCATCCATACTTGAGTCAACCGTTTGAGCGAATCCTGGAATTTGTTGCGTTGCTCTTCATAACTGACCACTACTTGTGCGGCAACTCCTGTAAACTTGAGGGCAAAAAAGGTCTCGTCGAAGAGGTTTGGCGACGGATTCATGTTTGAGATCATAGCAGCGCTACCACTGCCCGACAGATATGGTTGGAATACTTTGGTTAACTTCGTGGTGAAATTGACTAAATGTCTCTTCGATGGGTCGTGTCTGTTAGCAACACAGTTCACAATCAATACAAGTATTTCACTTAAAACTATTGCAATTATTAATGAAAAATCAAATTAATCTAAAATAAGACATTTATCACTATTCCATATAAACCTATAATTAACACTTCAATAAATACTTCAATAAAAGGTCTGCATTTTCAATACATTTCTATATAATTCAATTAGTTTTTAAATTTTTATGACTTTATAACTAAAAGGAAAGAAAAGCCGCTATTCCTACCGTTCATTCAGTTATAAATAGGTCGAGAGAGGCTTAAAACAAATGTCTAATAAATTGACATTGTTCCATTCCTAGTACCGTTAATATAAAAACAATAAAAATTCAAAAACTAATTCAATTATCATATTCTCTCACTTTAGACCACAAATGGGGTGTTATGTGAGAAAATACTGTACATTGAAATGTATTAAAATAATAGAAAAGTATGTCAATTGTCGTATTCATAAGAATTTCACAAAAATAAGTTTTGAAGACTTACTCAAACTTCTGGTTGTGTCGGAGGGAAGCGATGCAACGGCTGAGAGAGAAGAGTGATTCGTTGATCTTTCCGGCCTCTCTTAGGCGGTCACCCGTACTGTTGGCCTTATCGCTGCGCTCAGCGCCCGCTAAATCACATATCGATAAACTGTTTGCAATCAAAAACAATACGAGTTATAAATATGACATTTAATGAAGCGATTATTGAAGACATACTGATTGAGATGCGGCGGTCTCTTAGGGCCACAGCTGTTGCCAAAAGTGGTCACCAATGATATGGTGAACGCGCAGTGACTTCGACTCGAATTCTTGTTTAGATTAGTGGACGAAACGTGAAGATTGTTTTGTCCAAAAAGCAGCACTTTATAGGCCTCTTCGGCAGACGTGACGCAGATTTGTCGCAACCCTTTCACGTAATGGTTGGCCGATCTGTCCTTCAAGAGCGCGATCTTAGACTTCTTCTCGCCGTCGATAGAGATGTCGAGCAAATCGTAGATAAAGTCTTTGTATATCTCGTAGAATGAGATCCAAACCGAACACCGAATGTTTGATCCGTCGCTTCTGAAAGTGGAGTGCAAGACATCCGTCCAAAGAGCAGTGCTGTCACTGCTTTCGATGACCGAAATCTGGGACCGAAACGAATTCATCGCACTTTTATAGCTTCTGTCCGTTTCGTCGAAAACACACCGACGGATGCCGTCTTCGAGTTCGCGATCCGATTCACTCAACGCCTGGCATTCGGTGAATGTGTTTGGCTTCAAAAGCGGTAACTCTTTGTCGAGTTTGTGTCCAATCACTTCAAACACAGTGTTGAGAGCTCTGGGAATAATGCCGGGATTGACGGGCGAGCCCTGCATTGTGTACGACTTGCCAGAAGAGGTGATCCCATACGCGAACAGTAGGCCGTTCTGTCCGCCGAGGAAGCGCTTCACGACCGGCAGTCCGCACGTCTCGTAGACCGCCATCTGATCCACCGATTCGTCCATTATTTGCGAGAACTTAAAGCGCTTTCTGTCGGCCGAATCGGATCCATATTTGGACGCATTGGAGCCCTTCGGCGGAATCACCTCAAGAGTGTTGTTGTCCATCACTTGATAGCACTGTTGTCTGTCGTCGGTGTCTAAGTTGGGAACCGATCGGATGCGGAGATACGTGTGAAGGCGTTCGGTGTTGTGGTCGACGATCGACATCTTGTGGTGAGTGAACAGGTCTTTAGTCAACTCAATGCCATCGCATTTCGTGCCGTTCAACACATCCAACGGATTCACTACCGATGGCGTCAACGAATCCATGACTTAAACCACTTGTCTATCGATTCAATCACTTCTAGACTTACTATTGCTTCCGATGTCTGGATGTCTGCGAACTAATGTGTTCTCCAATACAGTACTAAACGACTCAACAGTTTGAACACTCTTTCAGATGCTTTCATTGGCCAACACAAGGCCTCACGCATGCGCTCAACACCACAACAACACACACTATGGGCTCAACTGTGACTGCAATGTAAATGTAGTGTCGATTGTGTTGAACAACGAGTTAACACATGAGTTGACAACTGATTCACACGTAATGACTGTCAACTGTATGGCCACTACTGACCACTTGTGTCCACTACTCGAGTATCGGAGGCCTGAATGAGAGGTGTATTGCAATGGCAGTCACTCTTGACATGTGTCACAAAACCATCACTCAATTCAATGATGAGAATTAAAGGGAAACTCATTTACCATTTGCTAAGTCTGTTGATTGTCTTCTCGTTTGGTTTCATGTCTGCCATTGTCTTCAATTGGGACCCCAATGACAGACCACAAGAGGTCGGGAACAGCGCTTCCAAAGACGCGTCTGTATCGCCGGAGACCACGTTCTTAGTGGTGGTTGTATTCAGTGGCGGTCTTAACGGCCACCGAAGGCAAGCCATCCGCCAGTCATGGCTTCGGCTGTCGGGTCAGCGAAAAGTGAAGCATTACTTCATTATTGGCTCTTTAGATGTGAACCAAAGTCTATTGGATTCGCTTCTCGAAGAACAGAGACTTCATAACGATTTACTCCTATTTCCACACCTGAAGGACACTTACACTACACTCGCTCTCAAACTTCTTCAGAC